GCCACTCACCTTCAGTTGGTTGTGAGAACTCCCTTTGTAATTTAACACCCCAGCCACCCTAACCTCTTCTCCATTTCACTCCTCCTCATTGCCGCGCCATCCCACGGAAGTATCCAACTCTAAAATGTCCAAACTCCAGCAGCATTTTGATTACAATGTCCATAGCTGCCAGCTTACTCACTTGCATCTTTTACTTCTAAGTCATCTACCCTTTGACCTAGACCAAAGAACCTTGACCAACAGTTTATCATCCACCTTTTCTTCTTCTTTTTTTTTTGTCAGTCATGGAGCTTGAACTCTGGGCCTGAATGCTGTCCCTCAGTTCTTCAGCTCAAGGCTAGCGCTCTACCACTTGAGCCACTGCACCACTTCTGGTTTTCTGAGTGATTTAATGGAGATAAGAGTCTTATGGACTCTCCTGCCTGGGCTGGCTTTGAACCGAGATCCTCAGATCACAGCCCCCTGAGTAGCTGGGATTACAGGTGTGAGCCACCAGCACCCGGCTTTCTTTTTGGTACTGGGGATCAAACCCAGGACATTGCACTTGTTAGGCAAGCACTTTGCCACTGAGCTACATCCATATCATATACCTTTTTTTGTGTTGTGGCTTGAACTCAGGGCCTGGATGCTGTCCCTGAGCCTCTTTGTGCCCAAGGCTAGCACTCACCCACTTGAGCCACAACACCATTTCTGGTTTTTGAGTAGTTCATTGGAGAGAAAAGTCTCATGGGGACTTTTCTGCCTGGACAAGCTTTGAACCATGGTCCTCAGATCCCAGCCTCTTGAGTAGCTAGGATTATACTCGTGAGCCACAAGTGCTGGGCTTCAATACCTTTTTTTTTTGGTTGGTGGGGCTTGAACTCTGGGCCTGGGCACTCTCCCTAAGCTCTTCAGTTTAAGGCAAGCACTCTACCACTTGAGCCACAGCGCCACTTCTGGTTTTTGAGTGGTTAATTGGAGATAAGAGTCTCATGGAGACTTTGCTGCCCTGGCTGGCTTCCATGATCCTCAGATCTCAGCCTCCTGAGTAGCTAGGATTACAGGCGTGAGCCACCGGCCCACTGCATCTTAAGCCTACTTTCTTATTTGGAATAAGATGGATTCTTTAAACTAGTCTTGCTTCCTGGTCAGTCCACTTTATTTTAATCTTCTTATTTGTAGGTTTGGGTCGGTTGTGGGGCTAGACCTCAGGGCTGGGCACTTTCACTGAGCTCTTTTGCTCAAAGTTAGCACTCTACCACTTTGAGCCACAGCTCTACTTCTGGTTTTCTGGTGGTTAATTTTTCCTGCCCAGTCTGGCTTTGAACCAAGATCCTCAGACCTCAGCCTCCTGAGTAGCTAGGATTACAAGAATGAGCCACCAGTGCCTGGCTCATCAGTCCACTTTATGTGTTTACAAATCATAAGTCAGGACATACACAATAGTGACTTGTCTGCCATTGTACCCAGCAATAGGATGCTACTGGACAAAACACAGATCTAGGGACTGGACTGGTACTTAGAACACACTCAGTGGCTTCCAGTCTGTTCCCTAACCATATTTGGTTGTAGTTGTTTTGAAACAAGGTCTATGTAGCTATGTTGCCTAGGGTGGCCTGGAACTTGTGACTCCTCCTGAGCGCTCCTCCTCAGGCTTTCCCTAAACCTTGATTCTCAGATTTCAGCTTCCTGAGTAGCTAGGATTATAGACAAGAGCCACCAGCGCTCCGCTATGGCTGTGTGTGTGTGTGTGTGTGTGTGTACGTTTAAGTCCTGGGGCTTGAGCTTGCGTACTCAAGGTTCATGCTCTTCCACTTGAGTCACAGCTCCACTTCTGGGTTTCTGATAATTAACCAGAGATACATTTCTGGGACTTTTTCTGCCTAGGCTGGCTTTGAACTGTAATCCTTATATCTTAGCATCTTGACTAGGTAGGATTACAGGCATAAGCCACTAGCCCCCAGCTCCAATCACCGTTCTATAATTTGTATTTTTTAGTTTTTTCCTCTACCCTGCTATCAGGGTTGAGCTCAGGGCCTCAAGCTTGCTTGCTCAGTTGGTGCTCTATCACTTGAGCCATGCCTCTAGCCTGGCTTTGTGCTAGTTACCTTGGAGATGGACCTCAGGGACTTTTCTCTTGCTTCAGTTATTTTTCAGATAAAAACTGCTTCTACTCTCAGAACCTATGACCTAGGCGAGTTATTTTAATTTTTTTCCATCCTGTTCGCACTTATTTGTTTATACACATATTAGCATAGTTACAGGGGAATTTCATTGTGACATTTCCACCTATTTACAATGTACTCTAATTCTTAAATTTTTTTGTAGTTCTGAGTGGGGTTTGAACTCAAGGCCTTGTTCTTTCCAAGTAGGTACTGGATTTCAAAATCCAACCTGGATTTTGAACCAGTTTAAACTTCCAACATAGCTAGTGACAGGTACACATACTCATGCCCAACTTCTATTGATTTTACTGAGGGTCTAACTTTTTTGCGAGGCTGCCTTGAAATTGGATCCTCTTTAGCCTCCTTCCAAGTGCTGGATTTACAGGCCTCTACCACTAGGTCCAGGCCCATCTTATCTTTACTGGTAACACATTTGTCTGTAACAAAATCCAGCTAATAACTCATCTCCTGACTTTCACGTCAATTTGCTTTTATTTGTATGCCACCTCATGTCCTTTCATCCCTGGGTGGAACAGATCTGCCCTCCAAGCCCAGCAGAGGGCACTCCGTACATGCCTTCATGCAAGGACTTGTACAGGCCTATGGCTCATGGTGTATATTATTGTCAACTTAGTTTAGGTTTCTTCTGTCTGCCTCTCTCTCCCCTCCCCCGCCCCCACTCTGTCATGGGGCTTGAACTCAGGGCCAGGGTGCTTTGAACCACAGCTCCACTTCCAGTTTTCTGGTGGCTATTTGGACTTTCCTGTCCACACTGGCTTCAAACCATAATCCTCAGATCTCAGCCTCTTGCGTAGCTAGGATTACAGGTGTAAACCACTGGTATTTGACCTCAAATGGCAAGTTTTAAATAGAAATACAGGTATCTAGAAACATCCCTTGATTACAGCTTAAAATTAAAGATCAGGGAATGTGGAAATTGTGGGGAACAATATAATTGGAGGCTAAAGATGATCAAAGTACATTATACACATGAAAATGTCACAATGAAAACCATTTTTTAAAAAAAAGAGGGCTGGGAATGTGGCTTAGTGGTAGAGTGGTAGTGGTAGAGTGCTTGCCTAGCATGCATGAAGCCCTGGCTTCAATTCCTCAGTACCACATACACAGAAAAAAGCCAGAAGTGGTGCTATGGCTCAAGCAAAAGAAGCTCAGGGACAGTGCCCAGGACTGGCAAAGAAAACCACAAAAAAACAAAAACCTGTTAGATACTAATTCATGAACTTCAGCTAACCAGCTCTGCCATCTTCCAAGTAATTTATCTCCAGACCTCAACTTTCTCACCTGTACTGAAATGAGCTCCACTAATGAATATTCCCCAGAAACATCTTGAAATCACGAGACTGAGAAGCCTCATTACAGCACTCACATTACATTGCATTCATAAGAGCTTTGTGCTTATACCTGTTGAAGTGAGGATACATCATAACCCCCTGGCTGAATCAGGAGAGAGAAAGTCAGCAACATCCTGAGTTGTTGAAAATTTATTTGGAGAGCTGAGAATGAGTCACATACTAGGCCAAGATTCCTTCTCCAGTAGAGCAGCATCACCAGGTCCCCCTCGCCCAACACTAATATCTCTGTACTGTCTCCTGGACCTTGTTTATCTACTTTGAAGCAATCCCATTTGGGAAAATACTACAATCAAATCTAATCAAAGTTGGGTAAAATGGGCAAATAGTTTCAATCTGTACAGTGACTACTGAGGCAATGGGAAAGGACAGAAGGGAGACCTGTGTGAGTTTATTATTTCTCCTTTGGTAAGTGTTTCTGTCACACACGGCATCAACAAGCAGCTTTAATTCCATTCAGTGGCAGGAGTCCAGCATGCAGGTTGGTACATCATGAGGAAAATCTGCTGGCCACAAGCAGAAAGTGTGTGTGTGTGTGTGTGTGTGTGTGTGTGAGAGAGAGAGAGAGAGAGAGAGAGAGAGAGAGTGAGTACTGGGGCGGCTTAAACTCAGGAACTGACACTCTTGCTTGGCTCTTTTGCTCACAGCTGGCACTTTAACCACCTGAGGCATGCCTCCATTTCTCAGAAAGATTTTTTTTTTTGGCTTATTACTAAGAGATCCTATTTCTCCTTCACAAACATAGAACTTAAAAAAGGAATGGAAACTAAAAGAGAAAAGGAAGAATGGGCATTTCTTTTTTTGCTGAGCCTGAACCAAGATTTAGGGGTCAATAAACTATTCAAGTCAAATACCCTCAATCTCTCATTTTGTGAGCCGCTTTCTCCTCTATCGTCTACATTAGCTACAGAACAAAGGGATGGATGGGGTAAGCCCTCGTGTGTGCGCCGCCATTCCTGCTCTCTCCCTAAGTGATGTAAGTGAGGAAGCCAGGTGCACCCCACGTTACAGCCCCTTTTCTTCCTTAGAAAGTCAGGGCCCCATCTTACCTTCTCCCCTGAATGGGGTGTTTACTTTTGTTCTCTTCACCCTCTGGAACCCCAACAGATCATACCAACTGCTTCAGAGTATTGCTGGGTGGGGTTTTTCCTTGGTCTTTTTATTTCAAATACTACAAAAGTCAGCTCTGTGGGGCGCCTCACACTCACGGCTCTTTTCTGTCACGTTCACTGCCCTTCTCCCCACAGCAAATCTATTTCAAGGACAGCGCCTAGTGAACAGTTACCACTGAGCTCTCAGCTTGCTCTGAGAGCCCGAGGAGCTGTTTCCATCGGTTGAAGCCCCAGTTGCTTTTACCTGGCACCAGGTCTCCAGCCACATTCAAATAAGGCATTTATCTCCACAGCAGAACTTAAACTCCTACTCATCTATTCCACTGCTGCCCCCATTATACCCACCCCACACCAACCATACAGGTAAGGAGGAAGACAGTCAGGAATGCTTTTTTATGAACTCTAAATTCAAATTCATATCCACCGACTCTCCACCCCACCCTCTCCACCACACCCACAGGACTTCATTGAGATTTCTCCCAACAGTTATTTGGAAAAAAAGGTGAAACAAAGAAAGGTCAAGGCCTTGGTGCTCAGGCTAAGGGGCTCCATGCGCTAGGACACCAGCGGGCAGGGGCTTCTGCCTCTCCAGCCCATTCCCAAGCCACCACCCGACCCCCGGCTGCAAAAGCAGGGAGGGGAGGAGCCAGCACAGGACCCAGGGGCGGCATCTCAGGATCTGGCAGAGCCCCCGGCAGCATCATTCAACTTGGCCACTGTGGACAAACACAGAAGAAAAAAAAACAAAACACACACACAAAAAAAACACTGTCAAGTAGTAGGGGAAAACCTTGAATTTCATAATTTCATCCCAGTCTCCCATGATTCCTCCACACAATTAATCATTAGACTACCTAACATAGGTCGGCATGGCGTGCTCTCTTTCTCTCTCTCTCCTCTCTCTCTTTTTAATGATACTGGGGACCTCTACCAGTTGAGCCATACTTCTAGCCATTTTTTTTTTTTTTTTTTTTTGAGAGAAGATCTTGCTAACTTTGCCCAGGCTAGCCTTAAATTTGTGATCCTTCTACTTCTTTTCTTTCTCCTTGAGCTTCTTTGTGCTCAAGGCTAGCATTCTACCACTTGAGCCACAGTGCCATTTCTGGCTTTTACTGAGGAATTGAACCAAGGCCTTCATGCATGCTAGGCAAGCACTCTACAACTAAGCCACATTCCCAGCCCTGATACTCCTACTTCTGACTCCAGAGAAGCAGGTACTCATTACCACACCGTGGTCTTATGCATAAGAGAATTAGAGAACTTTTTGTAAAAAGAAAGGGTGAGAGAACTTGTCTTTTCCTATCTACAAATAGAGCATTTCTTGCCTTTTTTGGAGTTACTTGTAGAAAACAAACACAGGAAAACAATTCTGTAGACACCAAATAACTAGATGTTTTTAGGAAAGGGACCTAAGGCTCCGGCAGCACTGGAGGCCACACAGTGGGGAAGTGGTCACCACATCACACGGAGGCCAGTCAGACCGTGCATACGCTATTTGGAGTGAATTTAATCACTTTGATTTTACCAAGACTTTTGTTAAGGAAGCTATGTACTTCAAGCTGTGGAAACAGGTGGCAAATATAAGACTAGCTTGCCCCTTTGTTTTCTTACAGATGACCTGCTGGTGTGAGACTAACCATTTTTGTTGTTGTTTTGTGCCAATCCTAGGGTTTGAACTTGGGGTCTGGGCACTGTCCCTGAGTTTTTTTGCTCAAGGCTGACACTCTACCATTTGAGCTACGGCAGCATTTCTGGCTATTTCTGTGATTAACTGGAGATAAAAGAGTCTCACAGACTTTTCCTGCCCAGGCTGGCTTCCAACCATCATCCTTGGATCTTAGCTCCTCAGTAGCTAGGATTATAGGTATAAGCCACTGGTGCCTGGCTACTTCTGGCTTTTTAGTGTTAATTGGAGATAAGAGTCTCAGTGTTTGCTGCTTGGGCTGGCTTCCAATCACAATCCTCAGATCTTGGCTGCTCAAGCAACTATGACTATAGGTATGAGCCACTGGTACCTGACCAGTTTGATCTTCTTATTCCTTCTATTCTTTCCTAAATACCAGACTAATTGTGAATATCTTTAGGACTCAAACTTGACTGAAAGAGACGGCAGCTCAGACAGAAAAGAAAAAAAGTACAGAATTCGAGAAGATCAGAGATGAAGAAAACGTACAAAATTATATATATATTTATATATATAATAACATGACATATCTATGTACAACATGGCTGGGACAGTCAAGGAAACTATACAATGATGTTGAGCATTTTCCCCTTCCCACATGGACTTTAGGTTAAGGGTGAGCATGAGAGAATGGAGCAAGAAACACATGAATTATATACAATTACAGGTGACAGTCAAGGAGTTTGGGGGGCCAGGGAGTCTGGGGATCCTGCTCTCCGTTCCTTCCTCACCAACCTTTTTCTAACCAATCTGAGTTGACAGCCAGCAAGTGGACTGGCTGGTCAGCAATATATCTACACCTCCCTCCCACTCCCCCCCAGCATACCAGCGAGTCGTTCTCAATGGGCCTAGTGTTTGGCAAATCAGAATTTGTGAGATGAAGGGCAAGAAAGGAGTAGAGAATCTTGTTCTCTTGAATAGTTTTCAGCCTGGTGCTCTTTGTCAGAGGTGGCAGGCTACATTCAGTAAGACTCAGGCCAAGCTGGTGAGAACTAAAGATCCTGGTTACCACAAGCTCTTCTCCCACATGTTTATGAGTCAGCACTGCTGCCTTCTTATTGCACAAGAACTGGCTTACTAAGAGTAGACGGCAGATTTCTCAGTCTTCCTTTCCTAAACCTAAACACTTTCCCCAGCTTCTTCTAAAGTGAATCATCTCTTAAAAGCTTGCTGCTTCAGCCCTGCAGTAGCACTAAGTCCCAGGGCTAGCTCAGTGTTATCCCTTTTCTTCCTTTCTCCCTAACAACACAGCAGACATCCAAAGTACACCTGAGACATGGGTCTCCACGAGGGCATAACTGAGCTTAGCTAGCTTTTTGTTTTGGTCGGTTGTGGGGCTTGAACTCTAGGCCTGGGCGCTGTCCCTGAGCTCTTCAGCTCAGGCTAGCACTCTACCACTTGAGCCACTGTGCCACTTCCGGCCTTTTCTGCTTATGTGGCGCTGAGGAATCAAACCCAGGGCCTCATGCATGCGAGGCAAGCACTCTACCACTGAGCTACCTTCCCAGCCCATGGCTAGCTTCTTCAAGATGTATGTGGCTTTTTTTAAAATTGAGCCTCAAGACCAGGATACACCTATTAAAGTCTGTTGCCTAAATATATAGTCCTCAAACCTCAAACTTCCCCTCTCCTCCTGTAGCCCTAAAGTTTTGCCTCTGTGGATTATAGTGTGGAAGCTCACCTACAGTGTCTTCTGCACTTTTAGTTTTAGGACAGATAGTACAGAGTTTTTCAGCTGGCAGATATAGGATTTTAGAATCAGAATCAATTTTGTACGGTTAACTCTTATTTCATGGATGAGGAAACAGAAACGCAGACAGGCTGAATAACCCAGCCAAGGTTATACATCAGTTACTGCTAAGACCAAATGGAAACAGAACCCAGATAAGTTGACTTCTAAACCACTGCTCTTTTCACTATGCCATGATACTTTCGAAAGCAACATGCTGGAAGAGAGAGAAGGTACCCATTTTCCATGGATAGTTTTCATCAATCTTTGTATTATTTGCAAGCTAGGGCAAACTGTAAGAGATGTTAAGGAGGGAAAGTGGGCGCTGTAGTTTTAGGCAAGCAAATTAGTTTTCCTTTTTGAAGGTTCTAAACCTGTCATAATGGAAACATGAAGCAATAGCAGCCTAAGGGACAAAACACTTAGAAGCACAGAAAACAAGACTCATTCAATCTGCCTTTCCCAACTAGGTCAGGTCAGGTGAGCCTTGGGATATTAAATCTGTCACATGATTCCAAGGCTCAGCCTAGCCAATTTTGGTACTTTCTCTACCAAAAGAAGAAATCATTATCACCCCAGTTACTCACATAAGACAAAGCGTTGTCAGTACTATCCAACCCTAATCCCTCTATTTCTAGGCCCCTATCTGGGCTACAGTAGAGTGTAGATCTCTCGATTTAACTAAGAATGAACTTGGAGCCCCTCTTCAACCTACATTACCTTCTCAGCAGCCCCCCTGCAGCATCAGTTTTTTTCCTGGCTAGCAAGCTAAAAAGATCTGACTAAGTGTCCACTCCATCCCTGCCTACAATATATGAAAGGCCAGTGGGTGAGGAAGGGGAGGAGAAGAGGGCCCAGGTTACCCCGCAAGCTTGCTGGTGACGAGTGAGGACTTTCTCTGGGGTAGATCCTGCGGGGTAGGGATGTGGTCACCAGTCACCAGGTTCTTGTCTGGTCCTGCACTTGGCAGCTGTTTATTCTTCATCTTGGCTTTGGCCATGTTGTAGTCTCCTGAGTCAAAGTATTTTTGCTAAGAGACAAGATAGGGGAAGGGGGAAGGCTCAGGTGAATGAGGAGCTCTTACAGTCCACAAAATCAAGGAGACTCACATCTCACATCCATTGTAAACTCTCATCCACACTGAGATCTTTCAAGAAGTCTTCCTCACACACACTGGAACATTAATAACATGCTTTCATGTCTTCTTAGTGCTCCAGCTTTTATAGCTTTGTAAGTAGTTCCCTAGTAATAGTCTATGTTTTCCAAGGGACAGCTACTATATACTTTGTACTCAGTACAAGACAGTTCAACTAGAATTACTACTATTTTGTGTGTGTGTGTGTGTGTGTGTGTGTGTGTGTGTGTGTGTGTGTGTGTAGGTATATGCTAGTATTAGGACTTGAACTCAGGGCCTTGAACTATTACTTGTCTTGTTCACTCAAAGTTGACACTCTATCATGAGCTACAGCTCCACTTCTGTTTTTGTTTGTGTTGTTGGTGGTGGGGCTTGAACTCTGGGCCTGGGCGCTGTCCCTCAGCTCTTCAGCTCAAGGCTAGCACTTTACCACTTGAGCTGTAGCACCACTTCCAGCTTTTTCTGCTTATGTGGTGCCCAGTAATTGAACCCAGGGCCTCATGTATGCAAGGCAAGCACTCTACCACTGAGCCACCTTCCCAGCCCTACAGCTCCACTTCTATCTGACATTTTTGGTGGTTAACTAGAAATAAGAGTCGCATGGACTTTTTGGCTTGGGCTGGCTTCAAACAATGATCCCTAGCTCCTGACAAGATAGGATTACAGGCATGAGCCACCAGAATGTGGCTCAACTAGAATTATTTACTTCACTCATTAAGTACCCTGAGGACCTTACTAGGTGCAAAGCAATAGCTTGATACAGGAGAAACAAGAATAGATAACAGACACAGAAGACCAACTTGAAGCCAACAAGCTCAAAATAAAATATGTTGTTCTCAGACAAGGAATAGGAACTGGGCTTGTTCAGGAGGCTCATGTGTTTCTCTTTCCCACCACTCCCACACATGTTCCAGGGCTATGACAGCCTGCCCACGCCTGCCTGGCTATAGAGAGGTAAACTGCAAACAGCATCATGTTATCATCTGTGCCTGGGACTCAATAACTGGGAATCTCCACAGGAATCTGTTTCAGTCTCCACTCCATCCACACCAAAGAGCACATTCCATCTTAATGTCTTACAATCTCCCGTCAGCTTCAGGGACCAAGGAACATGGTTAAGAGTAGGATGACTGAAAGTAGACTTTTGTGAGAAAACCTTTTTGTTGTGGTGGTGGTTACTGTTTTGGTGCTAAGGAATCACACATCTAGGACCTTGTACATGCTAAACAAGGGCTCTACACTTGAGCTACATTCCCAGTTCAGGAAGACCACTCTAGACACAAAAAGCCTCTTGAGAGGGAGTATGTTTGATGTCTAGTGCTAACTTTAAGGTTCTGAGGAAATCTATTTATTTCAAATTGAGGATTTATGTAGGATAGCTGGCTTTGTTTTTCTGAATTAGTGCACCCCAAAATTTATCAGTAATCTCCTAAAACTTCTTACCATCCAAGCAGGCAGATGCTTGGGAGTAGGCTGCATTTCTAGTCCCTAACATCCTTCTTTTAATGCCTGTTATACCACATACCCAAATGCCCTACTATCAGCCTAATTTCCTATAAAAGACATCAGAAGGAAGCTGATATTATATCAGAGATTTACAATAACGTGGTTTTCTCTTTTCAAGTTTGTTTCTTCTTTGTTACTGACCAACAATAAAACCTCCAAAAAAAATCTCCAGACATCATCCAAAGTACCCTTCATTCAAAGAGGGTAAGAGAAAGTGTCCCATACCCCTTTCTGGAGTCTCTTCATCAGGAAGTCAGAGCCTCCAGGCTTTTGTCCTAGGCTTGGGTATTTGGCCTTTAGCTTTGCCTCCTCAGCCCTCTCGGGAAGAATACCTTCTTTTTCCTGTGTGTCCTAAAGGAAACAAACCAAATAAAGTTAAAAGGCTGAGAAACAATTGCTTTTAATATCTGAAAACATTTTTTCTGGAGATTTACCCACTTTTAAACAAGCTACCCTTACTCTGCTTTTAAAGATAGACTTTTGTTCAAAGCCCTAAAGCGCAAGATGACTTGTACTATAAGAAAAAGAAAAGCTGCTTTTGGGGGCTGGGAAGGTGGCTCAGTGGTAGAGCACTTGCCTTGCATGCAAGAGGCCCTGGGTTCGATTCCTCAGCACCACATAAGCAAAAAAAAAAAAAAAAAAAGCCAGAAGTGGCGCTGTGGCTCAAGTGGTAGAGCATTAGCTTTCAGCTGAAGAGCTGAGGGACAGCACCCAGGCCCAGAGTTCAGGCCCCACAACCGGACCCCCCCCCCAAAAAAAAAAGCTGCTTTTCATCCCACACCCAAGGAACTACCAAGTAACTTGTGAGCACTGGGTCAAAGGTAATGCCTAAACATAACACTTGAATCATAGAGATATACACCTTACTCAGCACAGATGGCAGGAAAGACAAGAAGAAAAAAAGACCAAAACACTGGCCAGTGCTTCGGATGATAAAAGGTAATAAGGATGTCTTGCAGGCCAAAGGAGTTGTTTTTGTGACAGCCATTTGGTAGATCTTCCCATGGAGGTGGCTAGCTATGTTTTCTTCTCCAACTAGCTCCACCAAGTAATTGCATATCATTGCTTCAGCATTTCCATAAATACTGTGATAGGCATTGTGACACACAAACAAAAAAAATCACAGGAAACTCAAGAAACAGTGACTTCATCAGTATTCACACATTTGTGTTCATTAAAAAAAAGAAAATCAATGCCTATCCTGGGGGTGGGATAAGTGACTTAAGTTGGGGAAATGCCAGGAGCGCAAATGTCTCCCAGGGCTCTTGCTGTTCTCTCTTGTTTTCTGCATGCCTTGCTGATCTTTCCTAATTTTTATAAGGACCTGAAGTCAATGTATGCCTCTTATTAGTGGAATTTCCCTAGAAAATACTGTTTAGATATAACACCAAGTTATTAGAGCCCAGTACTAAATGTTATAAACCCCAAGAAGGAGTGTATTTGATGTTAGTGTTTTTATCATTGAATGGCAGCTAGATTGAGTCTCACTGCTTTGGCAGTCTAAGGGAAAAATGGTGATGTCTTTCTTGTCACGACTCTGTCAGTGTCTTTTCTAGGCTTAACCTCCACATTATGTCTGGAGATCTAGTCTTCTTTTTTTCTTGTTCAGTCGTCACTGAACAACAGATCATTTCTAATAACAAGTCTGAGAAAGTTGCCACCTTAAGCTAGCCATGGTAATAATTATTCTTCTCCCCTCCCCCAATGCTATTCTTTTTTTTTCTTTTGTTAAACATCTTTACTTTTACTGTATCCTTCGGCAGATTGAGGATGGAGGCCCTAGCTTGCCTTGAGGGCCATTTACCCCTACTAATCAAACATCACTCAACAATCCAGGACCACCAACCCCCTCTCCCTCACCCGTCATTCACCTAGTCTTTCCAAATACCCGCCCACATCCAGGTTTGACCAATTATACCGTAGCTTCCATGGCTTCAGCAGTAGGCCCACTGACCAATCAGGAAGAGCATTGCACAGACTGACAAACGACCTAACTAATCAGCGCCAGAGAAGAGGACGCGTTGAAACTCACCCAGCGTGACGCAAGAAGTGGCCAACCCCTGCAGAGCCTGAGACCATGGCGACCAATCCGCACCGGTGGGAGACTGTTTCCCGCCCCATCGCGGCCGCCCCCAGCTCACCCGCCTGCACCCCTTCCATTTCACCTGCTTTTCCTCTCCGGTTTCCTCCGCAGGGTTCTCTTCTTCTTGTTTCTGGGACATGGCAGGGCCGGGACGGTGGAGTGTAGGGGGCCCGGGAATTCAACCGGAGAAGGGAAGGGGGAGGGGAGACGGGGACAACCAGCGCTGCAGCTTCGGCTCCTGTCACTATGGTTGCTCAGTCAAAATGGCGGCCCTTGCCCGTGACGTTGAGACCGCCTCTTCCTATGGGAGCCAATGAGGGTGGGAGGGATGGGGCAATGATGTAACGATCTACCAATAGCTGCTGGCTAGAGGTGGGCCCTAGTGAGGTGACCGACAAACTAGAGGACCAACCCGAGAAGAGAGTGAGCCACTAGGCCCAATTAGAATATTTTAGAGGATGCTGGAGGCGGGACTAGGAGCTTTGGCAGTTTTGCTCTGAGTGTGGGCTCAGACTTTTTTCAACTACCACCTCCCAGTGCTTGCGAGACGAGGAACAACTGCAGAACCAAAGGATGTAAAAACCCTCTCTCTGTTCTCAGGTGGAGTGATATCTGTTCTCAGGTGGAGTGATCTCTGTTCTCAGGTGGAGTGAAGTAAGCTTTACCCAATGTTAACAAGAAATTCTCAATCACCAAGAATCAAATTGGGAGGTCAAAGTGAACTTCAAAGCAATGCTCAACAGTTTTCTAATATTCCAACCTCAGAACCACCAGAACAAAAAATAAGAACACTATGGTTTATGTTCCATAACCCGTGCAAGGCTTTATAACTGTTCAGGATCATCCCATAGAGACTTAACTCCTTGAAACTGGGAGCACAGTTCTAGAAACAGGATAAACATTTCGCAAATGTAGTTAACATAAACAAAATCATAGTTCAAAAAATAGTTCTTGAGCATCTGTCAGGGGAAGACAACAATACTTGTATTTTTGTCTTCATCGGCTTTATTGCTGCCACTGGGGCTTAAACCCGGGGCTTTTTCACTCACAGCTAGTGCTCAACCATTTCTGCCATGCCTCTAACATGGCTTTTTTCTTTTTAAAAGTATTTTTTATTGTTATTGAAAAGGTGATGTACAGAAACATTACAGTTACATAGGTTAAGCAAAGAGTCCATTTCTTTTGGGACAATGTCAACTATTCCCTCACTTTCCCAATTTTTTCCTCCCATCCCCAACCTACAAGTTGTATAGGTCATTTAATGTCTAGTGAGTACCACTGCTGCATTTGTTCACCCTCCAAAACCTCCATATCTGTTTTGCTGATTATTTTGGAGATGGAGTCTTGTGGACTTTTCTGCCCCAAGGGTTGCCTTGATCCACAATCTGCTGAATCTCAGCCTCTTGAGTAGCTAGGAGAATGAGCCACTGGGTGCCCTGCACATCTTTATATTTAAAAAACTGGTCTAGGGGCTGGGAAGGTGGCTCAATGGTAGAGTGTTTGCCTTGCATGCATGAGGCCCTGGGTTTGATTCCTCAGCACCACATAGAAAAAGCCAGCAGTGGTGCTGTGGTTCAAGTAATAGAGCACTAGCCTTGAGTTGAAGATCAGAGGAACAGCGCCCAGGCCCAGAGTTCAAGCCCTAAAAAAAAAAAAAGAAAGAAAGAAAGAAAAAGAAAAAAAAAGCTGGTCTGATATTAATACTGCTAACTTCATAATAAAAATGTTTCAAGCAACTTTTTGTAACAACTTCAGGGCCATCTGTTCATTATTATGTATCACTAAGTGTACTTATGGTGGAAAAGTTTGAGGAACAGTGGAATATACAGACTGTTACCATACAAAAATGTGAGTTTTCTGTGAGATCAAAGAAAGGCTTATATTTAGTGTAGGGTCCAAAAAACCCACCACCACCACCAACAAAAAAAAATCCTACTTTGTGGCAAAGGTGGCAAAGATGAATTTTTTTGGGGTGCAAGCCCTGGAACTTAAGCTCAAGGCTTGGGTGTTGCTGCTGTCACTGAGCCTTTTTGCTCAAGGCTTTTGGAACAAAATACATAGAAAATACTTACCTCAAGGATGAACATCTGTCTCATAGGGAATGTAAAACAAAAGCTATCCTTTTTTTGAAGCGGGTCATTGATTATCCTACCACTTGCGCCATAGCACCATTTCTGGCTTTTTGGTGGTTAATTGGAGATAATTCTCACAGACTCTCCTGCCTGGGCCAGCTTCCAACCCAAATTCTCAGATCTCAGCCTCTTGAGTAGCTAAGATTACAGTTGTGAGCCACCAAGAATCAGTTGGAAATGAAACTTAAAGAACTTAACTTGCTAGGTAGAGATGAAGAATATTGGAACAGCAAAACTAGAAAAACAAAATGGTAACCAGAACGTGGTGGGTTTTGTATGCCAGAATAAGAAGTTTTGGAATAGTTCAATAATCAATGAAATACAAAAAAAAAAGGCCAGAGTGTAACTGAACTGCCATTACAAAAATTAACTTGTTAGCTAATCAGAAAGATAGTAGAGATAGGCTCTCCAGCCTTGAATCTACTATAAACTTTATATAGGGATAATTGGGATTTAATTTGGAAAAGTGGCAGTTAAGAACACAAAACAGTTGCCCAGCGCTGGTGGTTCACACCTATAATTCTACCCCAGCTTTTTCTTTTTTTTTTGTGCTGGTCATGGGCTTAAACTTGGGGTTTGGGCACTGTCCCTGAGCTCTCTTCACTCAAAGCTAGTGTTCTCCCACTTTGAGCCACAGCTCCACTTCTGGTTTTCTGATGGTTAATTAGAAATAAGTGTCTCACAGACTTTCCTGCTGAAGTTGGATTTAAACAGCAATTCTCAGATCTCAGCCTCCTGAGTAGCTAGGATTACAGGTGTGAGTGACTGGCGCCCAGCCATTTTATCATTCTTGCAGTTACACAGTTTTATCAACTAAGCCAGAGGTTTGTCCTTCCTTCCTTCCTTCCTTCCTTTCCTCTTTTCCTTGCCTTTCCTTTTCTTCTTTTTCTTTTTCTTATGCAATAAACACATTGTTTTGTTGGTCATAGGGCTTGAACTCAAGGCCTGGGCACTGAACTTTAGTTTCTTTTACTCAAGGCTAGCTTTCCACCACTATGATCCAAAGCACCACTTCTGGTTTTCAGGTGGTTAACTGGAGATAAGCGTCTGGTGGACTTTACTGCCCAGATTGACTTCAAACCATGATCCTCAGATCTCAGCCTCCTGAGTAGCTAGGATTACAGGTTGTAAGTCACCAGTGTCTGGTTAGGCCAGAAATGTCAAGGTTGGTTTGCTCACTAAACTTGGGCCATTGATGTCTAGACATCTCTTCAAAGAAAGGATAGATTTTGTTATACATTCCCTATAAGATAGATGTGCATCCTTGAGGTAAGTATTTTCAACATATTTTGTTCCAAAAAGAATCATTTTCCCATGTGTGTCTTTCTCCAGGATAAGGGTCTTTAAGATATCCTTTGCTCAGTATCCAGAGCACACTAATTATTTTGAGCAAGTGGGCAGTGTTAGTGGGAGAAAGCTGTTCTTTTTCCTTCTAGCTATCACTTCAGCTTATGAGGAACTGTAAGGCTTAAAGGAAAGACTAGGGTTATTCATTTATAGTGTTTGTCTCTGAATTCCTGACTGATGTTTCCCAAGCCTCAGGTCTTTAGGAAAGACAGAATAAGTCTCATGATCTAAAGGAGTTGAAGAACTCGAAGCCAGTAGACAGAGGAAGTTCAGGTTTGGTAGAACTAAGACAGGCCAAAGAACAGGTTTCAGTGTTAGGGAAATTTCAAATTTATATCATGTATCATTAGCATAGAGAAATTGTAGGTATGACAAGTTCTGTCATATACTGATTATAATTAGTGACTGATATGGCATGGTTGTCATAGTCACTGAAGTTGATTTAATCAAGAGTGAAGCCATGAACTTCATGTCTTAGAGTATATGATTAGGGAAGAAGGTGATTGGGACCTAAATATTTAAGTATACCTTGCAAAGGCACAGAAATAACCACATGATCCTTACCAAACCAGCTGCATTCTAAGTGTTTAAGGATAATTTCTTGTTGAAATTAAGGAATGCTTCAGGAATGGTTGTCTGTAAACTGGGACAATAAGAGTAGATTAGGACAATTATAGATTGGCAGAGGGGAAGGAGAAAAGAAAGACAATTTAGAGGACCACTCCATATGCAAATGATAGAAGGTGATGACCCCTGGTTGAGGCCACTAGGAAAAGAAGAGAGAAACTATGGCAAGAGTAACAACTAGGAGCCAGGCCTGGTACAAATCTGAAATCCCAGCTACTCCCAGATTCTTCAGGGGATTCAAAAGTTCAACACGAGCCGGGTACAGGTGACTCACACCTGTAATCCTTAGGAGGCTGAGATCTCAGGATCTCTGTTCAAAGCCAGCCCCTACAGGAAAGTCCGTGAGACTTATCTCCAATTAACCACTAGAAAACTGGAAGTGGCGCTGTGGCTTACGTGGTAGAGTGCTAGCCTTGAGCTGAAGAGCTGAGGGATAGTGCCCCCAGGCCGAGTTCAAGCCCCATGACCGACAGAAAAAAAAAAAAAAAAAAGTTCAAAGCTAGCCCAGGCAGAAAAGCTTGACAAATACTATCTCCAAAATAACCAGCAAAAAGCAGGACTAGAAGTGTGGCTAAGTGACAGAGGGGCAACCTAGCAAGTGTAAGGCCCTTAGTTTAAACTCTAGTACTCTTAATGGAAGAAGCTGGGTGTGGTGGAAGCCAAAAGTAGGACAGATTGTAGTCCAGGGACCTGGGGAGGAAATAAGAACCCACTTAAAAAACAACCAGCTCAGGCCGGGCGCCAGTGGCTCATGTCTGTAATCCTAGCTACCCAGGAGGCTCTGATCTCAGGATGGAGGTTCAAAGCCAGCCCGGGCAGGAAAGTCCATGAGACTCTCATCTCCAATAAACCACTCAGAAAACTGGAAGTGGTGCAATGGCTTAAGTGGTAGAGGGCTTGCCTTGAGCGGAAGAGCTAAGGGACAGCACCCAGGCCCAGAGTTCAAGCCCCACGACCAACCAAAAAACAAAACAAAAATCCAGCTTGGGAAGACAATGTGGCTTAGTGATAGAGTGCTTGCCTAGCATGCATGAAGCCCTGGGTTCCATTCCTCAGTACCACAAATACAGAAGAAATAGCCAGAAGTGGTGCAGTGGCTCAAGTGGTGGAGTGCTTTGAGCAAAATCAGCTCAGGAACAGTGCCCAGGCCCTGAGTTCAAGTGCCAGAACTGGCAATAATAATAATAATAACCAGCTCAAACTAGCACCAGTGGCTCACACCTGTAATCCTAGTTACTCAAGAGGCTGAGATCTGAGGATCACAGTTCAAAGCCAGCTCAGGTAGGAAAGTCTGTGGAATTATTATTTGTCAGTCATGGGGCTTGAACTCTGGGCCTAGGTGCTGTCTCTCAGCTCTTCAGCTCAAGGCAAGTGCTTTACCACTTGAGCCACAACACCACTTCTGGTTTTCTGAGTGGTTTATTGGAGATAAGAGTCTCATGGGCTGGCTTTGAACCAGAATCCTCATATCTCAGCCCCCCCCCACCCCCCCCCCACCCCCGTAACTAGAATTACAGGCATGAGCCACCAATGTTCGGCTCATCCGTTTTTATTTATTTTTTTGCCAGTCACGAGGCTTAAACTTGAGGTCTGGGTATTGTCTCTGAGCTCTTTTGCTTAAGGCTAGCACTCTACCATTTTGAACTATGGTGCCACTTCCAGTTTTCTAGTGTTTAACTGGAGATAAAGTTTCACTGCCTTTCCTGCCCAGGCCTACTTTGAACTGAGATCCTCAGATCTTACCCTCCCGAGTAGCTAGGATTATAGGTATGAGCCACCAGAATCTGACCGTGGAAATTTATTTCTAATGAAAACAAATGGAGTTATGAAACTGTGCACACAGATACCAGAGACACAATGACTGATCTTTATTGTACAGAAATGTTGAAGGCCATATACATTAAATGAGGTGTTTGGCAGTCAGTGTTATCAGATTCAAACTGAAGACATCCTCAATTTATGGACATACAGTATAAAAATAAACACTAAGAGTTGCAAGAAAGAACTCAGCTTCTATCTCCCAATCAAGACAAAATTTCCACAGGAAAACCTGATTTCAGTTCACGGTGAATTGTTCATATAGGAAGAAAAGCTAGGCCAGATAGAGACAACATCTAGGCTATGTTTTGAATTTTGACAGAGCCAGACTAAAGCTCTGATCAGTCTCTTAGAATTTGTTTTTATTTATAATTTTTATTTTCTATTGAAGTTAAAACAAATAGAGTTGGAAGGGAATTTTTGTGGGGCTAGGTAGGTTTGGATAGCAGATGCAATTATTACTATTTCATTACTTCTGATCAGGAGGACTTGCCACGTTTTATCCTTTCTTAGACTGCCTCTCTGTAGTCGTCAACCAGTAGGACCCAAAGAAAATAAAAATAAATACTTGACATTAGCACAGCTCACTGACTGTTCTCTTTATATCCCCTAATCCTAGACTTACATTGTCTCTTCTAGATAGGAACTTTTTTGTGTGTGTGCCAGTCTGGGGGCTTGAACTAGGGTCTGGGCACTGTCCCCAGCTTACTGTATGCTCAAGGCTAGTGTTCTACTACTTGTGCTACAAATATACTTCTGGCTTTTTTAGTACTTAATTGGAGATAAGAATCTCATGGACTTTCCTACCCAGGCTATCTTTGAACCATAATCCTTAGATTCTCAGATCTCAGCCTACTGGGTATCAAGGATTACAGGCATGAGCCACTGGCATTGGGCAGGAAACTTACTTTCTTTTTCTTTCTCTCCCCTCCCTCCCTCCCTCCCTTCCTCCCTCCCTTCCTTTCTTCCTTCCTATTTTGTCAGTCATGGGGCTTGAACCCAGGGCCTGGGTGCTGTCCCTGAGCTCTTTTTACTCAAGGCTGTCCTCTACCACTTTGAGCCAGAGAACTACTTCTGGATTTTGAGTGATTCATTATTAGATAAGAGTCTCTTGTGGGACTGGGGATGTGGCTTAGTGGTAGAGTGCTTGCCTAGCATGTATGAAGCCCTTGGTTCAATTTTTCAGTACCACATAAACAGAAAAGGCCAGAAGTGGTGCTTTGGCTCAAGTGGTAGAGTATTAGCCTTGAGTAAAATAAAAGAAGATAGGGGCTGGGAAGGTGGCTCAGTGGTACAGTGCTTGCCTTGCATGCATGAGGCCCTGGGTTCGATTCCTCAGCACTACATAAGCAGAAAAAGCTGGAAGTGGAGCTATGGCTCAAATGGTAGAGCACTTGCCTTGAGCTAAAGAGCTGAGGGACAGTGACCAGGCCCAGAGCTTATACCCCATGACTGGAGGGGGGGGGGGGGGAGGAGGAGCAGCTCAGGGACAATGCCCAGGCCCCGAGTTCAAGCCCCAGGATTGGCAAAAAAAAATCTCATGGGGACTTCTCTGGCTGGCTTCAAACCACGATCCTCAGATCTCAGCCTCCTGAGTAGCTAACTAGGATAACAGGAATGAGCCACTGGTGCCTGGTTTAGGAACTTTCTTAATAAAATATCTCTTTATTCTCTTTATTGAAGTGAAAAACATTGTAGAGACTTGGTCAGAATGATGGTTATTCTGAAACAAGACACACTTAGAAGGGTATCTTAGGTTAAATATAGACAAAACTATTCCTAGAATTTAATCAATTTGTGTAAGAAGCAAAAATTAAGGGATAAGATGATGTGAGATTTGGGGATATATTTTCTGGACTCAGGGTGCTATTATTCCACAACAGAAACTTACAATTCCCTCAGCTCAGTAAGAGCATGAAAGTTTAAGCTGTATGCAAGAGGATGGAAATCCTCAGGCCCATTTCCCTTCATAATTTTCATTTAGTCTTTGAGCTTAATGAATGAGGGAGCAGGATTGCATTAAGAGGGAGCATACAATCTATTTCTGGCTTTAAGATTGTGGTATCCAGGTAATCAAATCTGGGACATTTTTATTACCTTAGAAAAAGAAACTTGAGAAAATCACTAGCAGGACCTATAATCCCAGAAACCAGCTTCTCCAAAAACTAGTTTAGTTTCCATTGCCCCTCACTCAGAGACTTCAATAAACTACATTATTTAACAGAGTCTGAGACAAAGACAGAAAATATATATTTAAGATAGACAACAAACTCAGAAAAAATGTAATAAACAGATTGCTCTTCATCTCACTCTTCATCACATTCTATTGCTGGAGAAATCCCACTTGTTTAACCAAAAACATAACTGATTAAACTAACCCAAGGAATGGGAGAAAATGTTTGTGGTGTGTGTATAGGGGTGAGTGGGTTCACCCAGTTTTATCTACGGAGTGGAACTATAGAGAAAAATAAAGACTTCTCATAATGGTCAAATTCTAGGGAGAAGCCCTGAAGTTGCTTTCCCCAAGTCATGATTTGATTCAAGAGAAGGAAAAAAAAATGATGAAAACATCTCACCACATAAAACTCAGTATGGGGGTCTCTAATAGTCACCAGCCAGCAAGGGGCAAGGGAAAGCCCCACCTGCGGGCTTTAAGATTTATTGAAGGCTGCTAGAACAGCCCAGATCATCTCTGTGGCATTGTGCTTTGTCCCCTCCACTTCTGGGTCCAGTTCTACTAGGTCTTTGGCTCGATTCATTGCCACATCATACTTGTCATCTGTCAGAGAGGAGAAGACATTCTCTAGTACATCAGATGAGTGGGCTAGTACCAGGAGTGCTAATGTTCGCTTGTCCATACGCTGAGGGTCATTTACCCACCGCTCTAGTACACTATCTTGAAGTTTTTTCACTAATCGCTGTTTCTCTGTTGTATTGGTCACTGGATGAGTGGTCATGTCAAATAGTAGGAAATTCTGCTTCTCAGTGGTTAGAATACCCTTCTCTACTAAGTTCTTTGCAATTCGCTCTCGTACATTTCTCAGCTGGTACTGTAATTTGAAGGGATTCCAGGTCTCACCTACAGGGAAAAGAAATAGGATATAATGAAAGGACAGAGGAAAACAAGTGAAAAAAAAAAAAGTTATTTGCAATCTTGAATGGTGGTTAAAATTTTTTTTTTTTTTTTTTTTTTTGCCGGTTGTGGGGCTTGAACTCTGGGCTTGGGCACTGTCCCTCAGCTCTTCAGCTCAAGGCTAGCACTCTGAGCCACAGCACTACTTCTGGCTTTTTCTGCTTATGTGCTACTGAGGAATTGAACCCAGGGCCTCATGCATGCAAGGCAAGCACTCTACCACTGAGCCACCTTCCCAGTCTTGAATGGTTAAAATTTTTAAAGAATAATCTGCATAACTGAAGGAATGATCTGTATTCACTCCCAGTCCATTTACTCCTTTGTCTTTCATACTATGGTTTTGACTCTAATAATATTTCATATTAAGACACTTTCAAAAAATGTTGTCAAAGCCAGATGCCAGTGGTATATACCTATAATCCTAGCTACTCAGGAGGCTGAGATCTGAGGATCATGGTTCAAAGCCAGCCCTGGCAGGAATGTCCGTGAGACTCTTATCTTCAATTAACCACCAGAAAACCAGAAATAGTGCTTTGGCTTAAGTGGTAGAGCACTAGCCTTGAGCTGAAGAGCTCAGGGACAGCGCCTAGGCCCAGAGTTCAAGACCTACAACTGACAAAAAAAAAAAAGTTGTCAAGCTGGGCGCTGTGGCTCACACCTGTAATCCTAGCTACTCAGGCAGCTGAGATCTGAGGATCACAGTTCAAAGCCAGCCTAGGCAGGAAAGTCCATGAAACTCATCTCCAATTAACCACTAAAAAATTTGGAAATGTAGTTGTGGCTTAAGTAGTAGAGTATTAGCCTTGAGCAAAAAGAACTCAGGGACAGTGCCCAGACCCTAAGCTCTGAACTCAAGCCCCAGGACTAGCACCAAAAAAAAAAAAAAAAAAAAAAGGAAGGAAGGAAGGAAGGAAGGAAGGAAGAAAAGAAAGAATCAACGAAAGAAAGAAAGTCATCAAAGGCTTCCATACTGCTAGTGCTTATGGATATTATCTCTGTATATTACTTTTCTGTGACACTGATAATCACTCTTGTGATTTTCAAATTCTCTCCAGGTCATCAGTTCTTCCTGGATGATTCTTTCCTGTATTGTACATAAATTGTTTAGGTTGGTAAAGCTGAGAGCGCTGAGTTTCCCTTCACTTATTAGTACAAAACAAACTTTATTCCAGGATTGAGATCCAAGCTAGTTTGGGCAAGAAAAGCAAGAGACTACCTGAAAAACTAAGGATAGAAACCTTGAGTTCAAACTCTAGTTTCACAAAGGAAAATAAAAAAATTATTGTAAATTTGTCTGTGCTGTACGCATGGGACAAAGCCTAGATGACAGTATACTTATTTACAACATGTGTACTGAATAATTTTTTTTTGGTCGGTCATAGGGCTTGAACTCTGGGCTTGGGCGCTGTCCCTGCGCTCTTCAGATCAAGGCAAGTGCACTACCGCTTGAGCCACAGCACCACTTCCAGTTTTCTAGTGATTAATTGGAGATGAGTCTCACAGACTTTTTTGCCTGGGCTGGCTTTGAACTGTGATCCTCAGATCTCAGCCTCCTGAGTAGCTAGGATTACAGGCATAAGCCACCAGTGCTTGGCTGTACTGAATAATTTAAGTCCCCTGTTGAGACCTATTGCTCAGAAAAAAAAAATTATTTTAAGTATTACTGTTCATTGATAATGCACCTAGTCACCAAAGTGCTCCGAAGGAGATGTTCAATGAGATTGTTTTCATGCTTTCTAATACAATATTCATTTTGAAGCTATGGATCAAAGAATAATTCTGATTTTCAAGTCTTATTTTGTAAGAAAAACATTTCATACTGAAAAAGAGGATAAAAAAGAATAAAAAAGGTAATATTATAAACAATGAGCCAATAAATTAGATAATTTTAGGTGAAATGGACAAAATCCAGAAAGAAAAAATTACATTTTTAGGGGGGAAGGGGACCTCAAGGCTAGGCAATTGTGCTTTATCACTAAGCAACATCTCCATCCCTTTTTGAGAAAGGGTTGGCTCAGTCTGGGCTATAATTAAAAAATGCTCCTGCCTTAGCCTTCTAAGTGATGGGATTACAGGAGTATGCCAACATACCCAGCTCTGAATAAATCTTAGAACAAGTGAATAAACTGACTTCATAATTTGAATACTTCCCACAAAGCAAAGCCTGACAAGATGTCTTTTTTTCCTTTTTGTGGGGCGTCAGACCTGAGGGCTGACCTCAGGGCCTGTGTGCTATCCCTGAGCTTTTTTTGCTCAAGGCTAGTGCTCTACCATTTGAGCCACAGCTACATTTCTGGCTTTTTGTGGTTAATTGAACATAAAAATTTCATAGACTTTCCTGCCTGAATTGGCTTTGAACTGTGATCCACTGACACCTGGCTACAAGGCAATTGTACTAAATGTTTAAAGAAAAATCCTTTACAAACTGAAAAGACAAAAAAATAGGGAGCTTGGTGCCAGTAGCTCATGCCTGTAATCCTAGCTACTCAAGAGGCTGAGATCTAAGAATCGTGGTTCGAAGCCAGCCTGGGCAGAAAAGTCCCCACGAGGCTCTTATCTCCAATTAACTACTCAATAACCAGAAGCGGCACTGTGGCTCAAGTGGTAGAGCACTAGCCTTGAGCACAAAGAGGCTCAGGGACAGTACCTAGGCCCTGAGTTCAAGCCACACAACCAAAAAATAAAAAAATAGGGAATATCTTATTTTATGTTGTCAGTTTTATTCAGGTAAAAAAACCAAAGATATCACAAGAGCCCATAAAAGGAGTATGTATAGGACTGTGAATGTGGCTTAGTGGTAGAGTGTTTTGCCTAGCATTCATGAAGCCCTTGCTTCAATTCCTCAGTACCAAATAAACAGAAGAAGACCCAAGTGGCACTGTGGCACCCAAGTGGTAGAGTGCTAGCCTTGAGCAAAAGAAGCTCAGGAACAGTACCCAGGCCCTGAGTTCAAGCCCCAAGACTGGCAAAAAAAAAAAAAAAAAAAAGGGCTAGGAAGGTGGCTCAGTGGTAGAACACTTGCCTTGCATGCCTGAGGCCCTGGGTTTGATTCCTCAGCACCACATAAGCAAAAAGAAAAAAGCCGGAAGTGGCGCTGTGGCTCAAGTGGTAGAGTGCTAGCCTTGAGCTGAAGAGCTGAGGGACAGCGCCCAGGCCCAGAGTTCAGGCCCCACGACCGGACCCCCCCCCCCAAAAAAAGGAATATGTATACTATGACAATATAAAGTTTATTACAGAAATGCAAAGTTTATCTCAACATTCCAAAATTAAAGTATGTAATAACATCCATACTAATTTAAAAAAACCTATGAGCATCTTAATAAACACACAAAAAGTACTTAACAAAATATAAAATCTTTCCATGATAAAATACTCAACAAACAAGAGTCTTACTATCCTGTTGTCATCTCAATAAAGATTAAAAAAAATAAAGATGTCTAAAAAAGTTATTTTTTCCTCCCTCCCTATTTTGAGGGGGTGGTTTGGGGATTGAACTCATGCATGCTATCACTGAGCTACACCTCAACCCCCGCAAAAGTTTCTTATGATGAACTGGTGGTACATGAATGCAATCCTAGTAATTGGGAGGCTGAGATGGGAAGATTATAAGTCTGAGGCCAGCAAGGGCTACATAGTTAGACACAAAACACTGAGAAAGAGCTTTCAGGGTAAGGTTACAGAAAATACATACATTGAAAAAGTTTAGTTATGATAAAAATAATCAAGTGTGAAATTGTTGAATCATTTTGAATTAGCTTACCAGTAAGTAGTTCTATCCATGTCTGGACAGTTTCTGTGGGTTCAGTTGCCTTGATGTGTTTGAGAGTTTCATCCAGTAAAACATCGCCTGTTGGGCTGTCTGATTTTAGCAGTACCTTTGAGAAAGGAAGAAACAAAAATGTATATAATATATACATTACTGGTTAGTTGTTACAGAAAATATAGAAACAACAAACTGTCCCTGTCCTAAGTAAGTTTAGAATGTAGTATGAGCTAATAGTGGGAAGACAAAAAAAAAAAAAATCTGAAGTGGAGCCAGGTGCCAGTGGTTTATACCTGTAATCCTAACTATCTGGAAACTAAAGATCAAGGTTTGAAGACAGCACAGGCAAGAAAGTCTAAGAGATTCTTTTTTTTTTTTTGGTAGGTCATGGGGCTTGAACTTTGGGCCTGGGCACTGTCCCTGCACTCTTAAGCTCAAGGCTAGTGCTCTACCACTTGAGCCACAGCACCACTTCTGGTTTTTTGGTGGCTAACTGGAGATAAGAGTCTCACAGACTTTCCTGCCCAGGCTGGCTCTGAACCACAATCCTCAGATCTCAGCCTCCTGAGTAGCTAGGATTACAGGCAAAAGCCGGCTCCTGGCCCAAGAGGTTCTCTATGTCCAGTTAACCACCAAAAAAAAAACTGGAAGTAGAGCAGTGACTCAACTGGTAGAATGCTAGCCTTAAGCAAAAACCTCAGGGACGTGCCCAGGCCCTGAGTTCAAGCCTCAGGACTGGAGTAACAACAAAAAGAAAGAAGCAAAAATCATGAGCCTTCTCTAATTTTTTAGACTAAAAATACCTCTGATATAGGATAGTTTTTTAACCTCTTGATATAGGATAGTTAGCTTGTATAATGACTTAAATCTTCTTTTTTTTTTTGTCAGTTGTGGGGCTTGAACTCTGGGCCTGGACACTGTCCGTCTCCTCTTCAGCTCAAGGATAGTGCTCTACCACTTGAGCCACAGCACCACTTCTGGTTTTCTGGTGGTTTACTGGAGATAAGAGTCTCAGGGATTTTGCTGCCTGGGCTGGCTTTGAACTGTGATCCTCAGATCTAAGCCTTCTAAGTAGCTAGGATTACAGGTGTGAGCTACCAGCACCCGGCCCAACTTAAATCTTCTTATTCTTCCAAAATGTATTGTTGGCATTTGACTTTCCTTAACTTAAAAGAGGATGTTCATAAAGTGAGGGACCAGAAGACACTGCATGAAAGGATTACAATTCCATGAGTAATTGTATATCACTCCTCTATAATAACAAATTAAAAGTAATAATATGCTCATAGAAGATGCTATACCTTTCTGTCTAGAAGTCGCTTCTTCCTCATGGTAGGAGGTTCCAAATAGATTCGACCTCGCATAGCCAGCTCTATCAGGATGCCCCCTCGCAGGCCAGATGATATGCAGTCATTCCAGAAAGATGTGTAACCCTAGGAAAGGGGAAAAAAAGAACAGAATATTCTGAAAGGAGTACAGACATCTAGCCTGCATCCTAAGAATGAGGTGTGATTGTGTGTGTGTGTGTGTGTGTATGTGTATATAATTTATTTCACATCCCATTACATGAACTAAAAGCAAAGTACAGAAGGAGATAATAGAATGTTTTTTAAATCTTATCTACCTTCACAATTTTAAGCTTAGATGTTAGTTGGTAATTGGAATGCCAAATTTTAATTTTGAGAAGAATTTTGGTGCATGCACGTGTGCGCACGTGCGTGCGTGCGTGCGTGCGTGCGTGTGTGTGTGTGTGTGTGTGTGTGTGTTCATGTTCTGGTCTGTGGGTTTGAACTCAGAGCATGATTACTGTCCTTGAGTTTTTTTGCTCAAAGTTAGGGCTCTACCAATTGAGCCATAGCTCTACTTCTGGGTTTTTGGTGGGTAATTGGAAATGGAGTCTCATGGATTTTCCTGCCTAGGCTGGCTTTAAACAGTGATCCTTAGACCTTCTCAGCCTCCTGAGTAGCTAGGATTACATTTGAGAGCTACCAGCACCCAGAAGAATTTTGGTTTTGAAAAAATGTTTCCACGACACTGTAAATAGAGTACAAATATATTAGAAAAAAAAAGCCTAAGCCATTTAGGTTTGTTACCTCTCCCAGATAAATATTAGTAAGCTTTTTGTGTGTGTTGTGCTGGGCATTGAACCCAGTGACTTACATATGCTAAGCAAGAACTCTTACTGCTGAGGTGCATCTCCAGCCCAGCAAGCTATTTTGATGGAAAGCACCATAGAAACCCACTGATTAGTGAAGTGCTTGAGTTTATTAACCTTCCTAAAGTGTACTTTCCTTATCCATAAAATGTAAGATTGCTGTGGGAATTAAATGAGAGGAAATACGTGAGAAAGCAATGAGCTTTGCACCTATAATACAGGAACCATTTCAGTGTTAGTTCCCATTCTCTTGAAGATATAGGGAATACACCAAGACATAAAACAAGAGACATTGCCATAGGAGCTTAAAAAAAAAAAAAAGCTAACTGGAAAGACCATGTATGCTTGATGAAAATTCTTGACTATATGAACTAATTTTCCTTTGTCTTTGAAACTTTTAAAAGTTTTTAAGGGCTGGGAATGTGGCTTAGTAGTAGAGTGTTTGCCTAGCAAGCATGAAGCCCTGGGTTCGATTCCTCAGTACCACCGGAAGTGGCACTGTGGTTCAATCGGTAGAGTACTAACCTTGAGCAAAAGCTCAGGGACAGTGCCTAGGTCCTGAGTTCAAGTCCCAGGACTGACAAAAAAAGGTTTTAAAAAATTATTAGAAGAAATAGGCATAAATGGTTGGTTAAAGTTTAGTTTGGATGATAGAATTTCAAGCTATAAATTTAGAGCTACAGTAGTCAAGAACCATTATGGGCTGGGGTTTGACAAATAAATTGAATTTGGTACAAAGTTTTCTAGATGGACAAAATGACCCAAATTCTACCTAGTCTTCAAAAGGATGTCTAAGCAAAACTGTCAAAGAGGTCTCAAATGTGTTTATAGAATTCTAACTCAAAGTGCTGAAAGAAAAACCATGACAACAGGTTGTGGAAAAAATTGAACTTTTAAAAGAAAGGCAAATAATGAACCATGAAAGTTCTCAGCAAGGAGTTAGGATCAACATGAGGAAGATCTATCAGTTATTAGAATGGCTCAATATGCTTTAGGTATATTTGGCTAGAGGTTCTAGCAGGTGTTACCTATCAGCAAAAAGGTAAAAAAATCATTATCACTAGCATCTAATACATATTGAGCTTTTTAATGTACTAGATTTGTGCATGCATAATTTGGTTACATCTTCACAACAACCCTGTAGAAGTATTTACAATTGACCAAATGTAAAGCTGAGGAATCTAAGATTTATAGCCATTATGTAGGTCACAAAGCAAAGTACTGCCAAAATAATTAACTTTTTTTTTTTTTTTTTTTAGGGCTAGAGATATGGCTCAAGTTGTGAGTACCTGAGGCCCTGAATTCATCTTCTAGTGCTCCTTTCCTCAATTAAAAAAAAAATCTATATTCCCTTCTTATTAGCTTGGAAGTTATGGACTTATTTCTTCTAGAAATTATCCTTAAAATTTTAACATGTATGACCATAAATTTTAAATTAACAAAATTTAAAACTCAAATGTTAATCAATACTCTTTACCACTTTTCTGGTTGTCTACTAGTACAGGTATTTTATTTTATTTTTGTTGTTGTTGTTATTCGTGGGGCTTGAACTCTGGGCCTGGGCGCTGTCCCTCACCTCTTCAGCTCAAGGTGAGTGCTCTACCACTTGAGCCACAGTGCCACTTCTGGTTTTCTGGTGGTTAATTGGAGATAAGAGTCTCATGGACTTTCCTGCTCAGGCTAGCTTTGAACTGCAATCCTCAGATATCAGCCTCCTGAGTAGCTAGGATTACAGGCGTGAGCCACCAGCACCTGGCCTGTATTTTATCTTTTTTAACCTCACAAATTAGATATTAATGATTATTTTATACAGGTAGCACTCAGTTTAATTTACTCAGATGCTTACCAATTTCTTTGCTCACTGTTCCTTCTTGCATCTCTTGAACCATTTTCTTTCTTCCTAAAGTAGAATTTCCTTAAGTGAGTCTGTTGGAGGCAAATTCTATTTTATCTGAAATGCCTTTATTTTACTATCATTCTTGAAAGTTTCTCTGGATATAAAGTTCTAGATTGATAGTTCTTCTCATCACATTGAAAGTAGTATGCCTTCCTTTCCTGGCTTCCACAGGTACAGTGAGAAGTTTATCATTCTTAATGGGTTGTGATTTCTTTGTAGGTAATACTTTTTTGTTCTCTGATCTTCCTTCCTTCTTTCCTTCCTTCCTTCCTTCCTTTCTTCCTTCCTTCCTTCTCCTTTTCTTCCTCCTCCTCTTGCTTTTCTTCCCCCACCTCTTCTTCCTCCTCCTGTCTTGGGGCTTGAACTCAGGGCCTGGGTGCTATCTTTGAGCTCTTCTGCTCAAAGCTACTGCTCTACCACTTGAGCCACAGTTCCAGTTTTGGCTTTTTGGTGGTTATTTGGATATGAGTCACAAACTTTCCTGCCTAGGCTGGTTTTGAACTGTGATTCTTAGACCTCAGCTTCCTGAACAGCTAGGATTATAGAGGTAAGCCATCCGTGCCCACACATGACTGTGTGTGAACTTATTTGTCCTGTTTGATATATATTGTGTTTTCTGTTCCTATGTGTTCAGTTCTTTTCATCTTGGCTTTCCTATCTAAGAATATTGTTTTTCTTCTGTTTTATTGTTTTTCTCACAGTTAAGTCTTTCTTGATTCCCACATTATGTTTTAAACATTTTCCATTTACTTGTTCATTATATTGCTTTTTGAAGAGTTTTATTTTTTGGGGGGTTTTTTTTTTTTTGGGTCTGGTCGTGGGGCCTGAACTCTGGGCCTGGGTGCTGTCCCTCAGCTCTTCAGCTCAAGGCTAGCGCTCTACCACTTGAGCCACAGCGCCACTTCCGCTTTTTTCTTTTTGCTTATGTGGTGCTGAGGAATCGAACCCAAGGGCCTCAGGCATGCAAGGCAAGCGCTCTACCACTGAGCCACCTTCTCAGCCCCTTTGGAGAGTTTTATATCCAGGGTTGGAGGACAGGGTCTCATTATATTGTCCAGGCTGGTCTCAAATACTGGGGACAAGCAATCTTCCTGCCTCCAGCCTCCTAGATGACAATACTGTGCAGAGTAGCATACACTTGTGGCCAGCAGGGTAGGGAGTTACTTTATATCTATCTTCCAATTTATTGTCTCTTCATCTGTAACCTAATCCTGTAGCTGGATGCCAGTGGCTCACACTTTTAATCCTATTCAGGAGGCTGAGACTTGGAGTATCCAGGTCTGAAGCTAGTCATGGAGGAAAAGACTGGATGGAGTCTGGAGACAAAATCTGGAGACTCTATTTTCAATTAACCAGAAAGATGCCAGACTTAAAGGTATGGCTCCCATGGCAGAGAATCAGCTGTAGGCAAGAAAGATGAGCACAAGCTCCAGGCCTGAGTTCCAGCCCCAGAACTGTCAAAAAATAAAAAATCTAACCCTGTGGGTTTTTTAAACTTTTGTTTTGACAGGGTTTCATTATGTAAAAACTACATCCCCAGACTCTCTACTACTACTACTATTACAATTATTATTATTATTATTTTTTGGTATAGGGGCTTGAACTCAAGAGCCTTAAATTCTTGCTTGGCTTTTCTACTCACTGTTGGTAGTCTGCCTCTTGAGCCACATCTCTAGCTCCTCAATAAATATTTCTTGATTGCATAAATGTATTATTGAAAACAAATGTGTTAACCTAGCAAAAGCTCAGTTTGAGCCATAAACATCCCTTAAACATCTCCAAATTTCCTGAAGGCCTTAACTTCAACTTAAGAGAGAGATTAGTTTCCTTTCCTGCCAGCCTCAAATGTATTCTTTAGGGAGGGGTAAGACTACGTTTTTGAGTTTAGTATTTGATTTTATACAATTTAGCTGCCCAGTTAAGGTTAAATTGTAACCTACTTCAGAACACATATTTTACTTAGGTATAACACATGTAATCCTAGTGAATATAAATCTCAACAGGTGTGCAAATATTTCAGCCAATATTAAAGCGACTGGAGGAAAAGTTCTTTTGTGTTTTCAGTTCTTCCTGACCATATATAACTTCCATTTCAGTGACAGTGTCAGATTGTCAACAGAACTATAAATGAGAAGCACTGTAAGTAAAGAACAATGGAGGGATATAGAAATCTTGTTTTGTATATTACATTTCCCCACTATAAGAACTTAAAACATATAAACTCTCCAAATGATTTTTTTTCCTAGTCCTGGGCCTTGAACACTGGGTCTAGGTGCTGTCCCTAAAGCTCCTTTTGCTCAAGGCTAGCACTGTACCATTTGAACTATAGCACTTCTGGCTTTTTCTGTGATTAATTGGAGCTACACCTCCGACTCCTTTAC